TACTAATTCCCATCTGTCGTCCCAAGGCAGGTAACTCAGACCCAACAACAAACCCAAACAGACAAAATATACAGTGGTATTGATAAAGACAGATTAAGCATACTATGTTTTTGTAGTCAATACACAGACTTGGAAAGATTGGGGTGGGACTGCAGTCCAGATATAAGTGGACTGGAAAAGGGTTAACCGGAAAACTATGACACTGGGATGGATTGAACATAGATACCATCCCATTGTTTAGATGCTTTTCTGATGGTGAAGAGACTGCTGAGTTCTGCTCCCTCCTGACCTACTTCATTGGAGGCTACACAATACTTGGGTGGATATGGTAGGTCATTTAGGTTTAAAAACCCTTCACCAATGACTTCACGAAAGATCATAACGTAATGATATTAGAGGCCCTTTCATTTGATTACTCTCAACCAGCGCCCTCGTGTGGCAAGTGTGGATCAGTACTTCTATTAGAAAATATGCCCAGTTATTACAGGTTACTGCTATTGATGCTGCTACACAACTTACTACTGCCTTCACATTAGTGTGAATCACAACAAATAACTAAGAAATATAACTAAATACATGTAATTTGGTTGATCTGGTGGGACAGGATTCTCTGATGTTGTGGTTGTAACCTCAATGAATGAACATCATACTGTACATCATACAAATGTTTTGTTAACAACCTTTATCATTAACAAAGCACTTGATCGAAGAGTTCAGAGTAATGGTTGAGGAAAGTGTTCTACAACTAGGTTATTCTGATGTAACATAGATTTAACACAGGTAAGTGGGTCTGGCGTAATAGGGATCAGCCTGTGGATTAAAAAAGTTATTTGAAGTGTTCTGTTCTGAAGGTGGAGCACTTAACGTGACTTTCTCACCGGCCGCTCTTAATCATATCATCTAACATCTATTAGAAGCCCAAGACTCCATAGCAAACAACTGCTATCTATTACTGTTATGTGCATTAATCATCGGTTTGACTACATTTTAGACACCAAAGCATAATTGTTTCATCATACAAGAAACTGAAAATAAAACCATGACATCAGGGAGCAGGTCAGGGCCAAAATAATACATTAGAATAGATTTTTACATTACTGACATTACTTTAATTTGTCATGAAATAGGTTTATTATTTGGATTTAACCAAAACTTGACCAAATATAAAGTTAAACATATTGTTTTATATACTTGTATGTGTTATGTACAAATATTAAAATCAATTAAATTCAGCTGTTTATCTGAGATCGTGGTCATGGCCGTCCATCACCATACATTTTGCAAGTTAATAATTATATATAAAAATCATTGTTGGGGCCTTAAAAAAATTGGGACTGAGTTTAACGTGCCTGCATTACATAATTAATTTGTTAAATAATAATTCATATCTTCAATAGGTTAATTGGCCTTATGGGAATTAATGATATGTTTTTTTGATAGTGCTAGTTTCCCATTTGCAGAAGTACCCTCGCAGTTCCAGACAGTGTTTATTGTTTACGTGTGGCAGGAGAGAGTGTCCTGTCATGACTTCACACGGCGAGTGATGGCCATCTTCGTGTCCCAGAGGATTTGTGGGATTGTGAGTAGAGTGATGGATTAGGGCTTTAGAGGCACATGGCACACAATGGCTCTGTGGGTCAGTGTGTCAGTGTATCAGTGAGTCAGGTTTCATCTAACAGTAAGAGGTCAGTAGGTGACCATCACCACAAACTACCGGTATAGGCTACTCACAAGTATTATTATGTTATTAGCTATTAGGTTATTCCGCAGCAATCTCTCACACAAACACACTCACAATGTTCATAAAGCAAGATGAGTGGTGACTTTCCTTCGCCATGCTCTTGTACAATCTCATCATTACAATGCTTCAGACACTTGGGAAATACTGTTCATTCATTAGACTATATTTGTTGCTTTGTTTTTCCTCTGCCTGGGGGTTTTCACCAGGGTTTGTCTGTTTTAGACTTTACATTTTTCCCAGGGCAACATCTCCAAACCATGAAACTGTTCTAAACTTAAAAGTGTACCCATGTGAGTGATGTTATCGCAAAAGGGCATACTGCATATCATATACAATTGGAATCAGTTCACAGTTTACACTGTCTGGTTATAGTCCATTTTGGATGGTGAAACTGCAATCCACCTCTGGGCAGAACAAGAGGTGTTGACCAACCATGACCAATCAATCAAAAAATCTCTATCTGCGATTGAAAGACAGAAAACGTTGTGATGACGGTGGTAAAATTGAGAGTAGCGTTTTCCTATTATGCTCCTTGTAAATGGATCGCTCTCCTAATGACATAAAAGGTGCTCAATGTTCACTGTAAAGAATTTCCTTGTAGAAAAACGGTAAATAACTGGCAATTATGGTTCCAGGAATTTACCGTTTTCTCAACATGGCATTACCGTTGCTAATTTTAACGGTTGAAGACTGTTTCACTGAATCACATTATGCCTTTGTGATTTCAGGATTTAACTGTATGTTCCTGTTAATTCACATACAACAAAAACAGCATTATAATGTTAATGTTGTGTTATTACACCATGTGACTGTTTCTGTTAATAATTAGTTTCATTGAACAAAAAACTACACAGATTTGTTTTACTTTAATGAACACAGCTTTTCAGCTGTTTTTTTAACATCTTCAGTTCATATAAGAAAGTAGTTGAATTCTTTACTTCTATAACATGCTTAATGCAAAAGCATCATTCTAACTAAAGCAGGAGTTTTACATGTGTAAGAGGTACCTTTTAAACTCATGGTTCCTCGCTAGCAAAAAAGTTGATGTTAAATTACGGTAATAATAAATAAAAAAACGTTACAATACCATAAAATCACAATGTGATTAATAATCACATTGTGATTTTATGGTATTGTAACGTTTTTTTGTAATCACAATATAATTGTGGTAATAAAACGCCACTGGATGTTTTTTAACCAATTTATACTTAAATTTGCATGTTTTAATTGTTTTTAAAAATAACTTTTTTTTATGTTAAAATGTCGTTGTAATTTTATAGAAATTTGTTACAGTGTTGAGCTCAAAAGTTGTTTTTTCTCTCAGATGTGCCTCTACCTGTTAAATGTCATGTCATGATTTGTGGAATTATATCCGTTAAACACGTTGAGCTGGAGTTCATGTATAACAAGTGTTATATAAATGAATTGTAATATTATATATTATTGTAAACATATATATGGATTTGAGTTAAACATTGTAATTGTAGAAGAACATGAAATCATGGTTTAAATGGAAGCGTGCCAGGGGAATGTGACAGCTGAACCAAACAAACACAGACAGTCCACATTGCCCCTTCACCCTTTCGGATGTGCGAGCTCAGCCTTTGCCCCACAGCCGCTCTGTCAGGAGCTACTCCAGGACACTTTCCCAATGTGAATTTTGGAAGTGACATTATAATAATAATAATAATGCATCGGTTTTATATAGCGCTTTTTTGGACACTCAAAGACGCTTCACATGTGTCATTATTCATTCACTCCAAACACGGTGGTGATAAACTACTAATGTAGCCACAGCTGCCCTGAGGCACACTGACAGAAGCGAGGCAACCAGTATGTGCCATCGGCCCCTCCGACCACCACCAACCATTCACACACACACCAGACTCATTCTAGGCAGTGGGGGTGAAGTGTCTTGCCTAAGGACACAACAGCAGTTTGGCACTTTACAGCCGCAGCCGCCCCACTGTGGCTGGTGTTCCCAGAGGTTAAGTGTCTTGCCAAGGACACAACGACAGTAGTCAGTGGGAGTCGATGGTGAAAGTCTTGAGCGGGGCTTGAACCCACGACCTTCTGGCTCAAAGGCCAACGCTCTACCAACTGAGCTACTGCCGACATTATGACACTGATGATATGACACTGTTGCTTAAATCAACCTTTGGTTATTTAGAACATATGGGTTTGATGAATGGTGCTATGAGACTTGGGTGGCATCTCTGACTGCCACCCCCCTGACCCAGAAATGGATTAAAGGGAAGAAAATGGATGGATGGATGGATGGGTTTGATGAATGCAGTTCAAATCATATACAATACATATAGGTTTGGTTTGATAATTGTTTATTTATCAAAATACATGTTTATATTTGAAATATATATATTTACATTATATACAAAGTACACCCAAAATATAGAATATTAAAACAATGAACACACATAGTTTTCTTGTAGTAGTTACATGGACATTACAGATCAATGTGTTTTATCCACATGATTAGGATGTAGCACCCTGAGGAACAATTCCGTTTAATATTTTGATGAAGATAAAGTGCTTTCTACATTTTCCCTAATCTCTTCCTCACATTGAGTGCTTGCCAAACCAGATTGTTTTTTTGTGTTTGAAAGTATTAATGTATTTATTATGAGGAGAAACATAAGTGCACGTGCAGTGGTACATGACTGCTCTATTTGCCTTTGCATTGGGAAGTGACCCTGGGTTCATGTGGTGTCAGCAGGACTATTGCCCCACTGATAACCTGTGCAAATACTACTGTTGGGGTGCAGCCAGATTTCACCAGTATCACCAATATCTTACTGCTTTGAGAACAGGCACAAGGAATGTACTGCTGTGAGTATCACATTATGTAAAAGTGATCTCCTTTGGCAAGGCACAGGCTCTAGGTACTTCCCTATGGGGAATGGAGGGGGGTCAACCAACAAATTAAAACCCAAGTAGTAAAACATTGTATCAACAAATCGTAATATAAAAATAATAATAACCATTTGATTCGGTTGGACAACATTTGTGTCTAGCACAGTGCGATGGACATTTAAGTATATTGTAAGAGCAGCATTCATGGAATAAATACAATTGTTCTCAAAAATCAAAATCCAAAAGTAAATGCAGAATAACAATCTTGTTTGTAGTTGAAATTACTGGACTATTATTTGGTTGTTAACATGGACGTAATATGGTATTTGGTTGCAGTTCATGCATGGGTTACAGTGTTTTTTGTGCGCATGTAATGAGGATGTACTGTCTATGTACAACCACATGATTCCACAATCATGTCTGGCACGTCTGTTTTGACAATACTATGCTGAGAGTTGAAGTAAACCATGGACAAGGGACGGCGCTCTGTGGGGATGCAGCACGAGGAGGTGGCCGTATGGATGCCATTGACTTTGAGCTGGCTGAAGACCGTGGCGTGGAATGATGATGCAATCCCTGGAGAACCAGACAGGTGCTGAGGACACTGGCCCATGCAGTAGTTCATGTGGTACCCCTCAGGTGCAATAATCCAGTCATGCCACTGGAGATCCTTGAACTTGATGTAAAAGTCTCTCTTACAGCACACTGTGACATCATTCCCACATCGCAGAGAGCGCTTCCTGATCAATCGTTTGGAATGGTCGTCACGCAAACGCACCTGGGCCACTAAGAAAGGCTGGTTAGGGGTGTCCTCTGTTGTGTCCAGGGAGCAGAGGTTCTTGCCATTTTCCTCACAGCTAACCTCAACGTGAAGTCTGTGTTGGCCACCATCCAAAAAGGTTTGCAGTGTGCGGGTGATAGGGAAAGTGTACCAGTTACTGTCTTGCACTTCGAGCATCTTCTCTATGACAAGGCTTCGGTTGGAGCTCTGCCCCTCCTGCTCTGCTGAGAGGAAGACCCTGGCTGGCAGCCGAGAGTCTCGGTAGGGGTTCTCAGAGGAACGCACGTAGATCCACAAAGAGGCCTGCAGCACCTGGACACTGCGGCCCTGCTCCTGGAGAAACTGGAAGGCAAGCTGTAGGCTTGCATCCTCAGTGTTTTTGGTGTAATCTGGATCAAAGAAAGACATAGGTTAAAATCAACAATCAGTCACTTAAGCTGCGATGTCCTGCATCAGCCTACTACATGCAACTGTTCTGATGCGTCCACCCACTGTTCGTCACAATACACCTGCTTCCAGGCAAAACAATGATATTTAGATGAACCCAAGAAAGTGGTGGAGCTCCATAAACATATTTTCTTAAGGCAACTTTAAGTTAAACTTTTTTTTTCTTTTTTTACAACAATCCTCCTGACGCTACACAACACATACATTGACTAACAAGGGATTCCCTTTCACGTTGACATGTTGAACTTACTTATATCAGCGAAGCTGACTATCTCATAGCCTTGGTCTGCGGGAGGTAAACTGTTGTCCAGCTCCAGCGTGCCGTCCTGCCTGACGCGTCCTGTGTGCAGTTTGCGCAGCGCAGTGAGAAGAGCAGCGCGGGGAACAGTCTGAGTAATGTTCGGTCTCTCTTTCAGGTGAAGTTTGTCTAAAAGTTGCTGCTTCGCGAATTCCACCATGAGCCTTTCTTCTGCCTCCGTGTCCATCCCACAGGACACACAGCCGGAAGAAACGCGCACGACTGCAACTGGCATAAGAAGAAATAACGCTGACATGATCGATGGCATCATGACAAAAAGCGCTCGTAAAAGGTTTGTTGAAAAATGTGTCGGTGGATTAGCCTAAAAGGTTCTTTGCAGCTGAAGCCCGTGAGAGGTTTGGAGAAAGGTGTGCCCTTTGTGACTCCTGATTAAGAATATATATCTGGGGTAATCCACCAAAACTGGTGACACGCTGGAGGGACGCACCAATGAGCGCATCAGGGCACCGCACTGTCATATATACACACTCACTCACATATATACACACACACAAATACACGAATACACGCACACACAGACATACACACACACACATGGACGCATTCACACGACTTGACTTAACAAAACAACAGGGGCTCATGTTAGGATGATGAAGTCACGGTTACAGCATGTATATTAAAATACACAAATACTGGTAATGCACTCTCCACGCGTACATGGTCAATCTATTCCAGCTTAAAATGCTTATGATTTTGAATTAGACTAAAATATGCAACAGGAAGACAGAATTCTAGATCTGATGACATATGGGTAAACACAGCTTACCATTTCGAACACTTCAGTTCAGTTAATGTTGTGTATTTGAGCTCAAAGCATACAGTGAAAACAACAATAAGACAATGTTTGTTTAAGAGTTGTGTAGAGCTCCTTCATTGCATGATTAAATTAAATGTTCTATGTCATACATACATACATACAAACATATTGCTTAAACATATTTAACATATTCTTCTCGTGTAATTCGTAAAACAATATATTTGGATCACATTAGCACTTTAATTTTCACTCCTTGCAGAAAGCAATACATTTGTTATTTTTGTATTTTTTTTTTCAGATGCAGGGGCACTAATAACACAAATAATTTGTTTTCAAGTAGACATAGTGACTCAAAGGGTGATCTACCAAATGATTGAGGAAACCATTAAAGGGTTAGAGGAGTCTCAGCCCAGTTCTGTATAAATGCTGAGGAACATGTAGTGGGAGGCCATGCACCCACAACAAAGGAATAACACATGAATGTTAAAAATATGGTCAAACTAGGTTTAAATTAGGGAAATAATGAGTAAAACCATACATGTAATGATGTTCACTGTGTTTTGTGAAAAGTCAAGTCTAACCTGCCATCTATCATTAGTGATAGATCAGTTTGATTTCATTAGTATAGGCTTGATGATCCACAGTCGTCGACCAAGCCCCTGGAACCACCCTCATCCTTGGAAAGTCTGCGTAAGACTCAGCGATATGTTAACACCTTGCTTCATTACGTGAGAAGGTGCTTAAGGCAGAGTGGTGGAGTCTAATGTGGTGGTAAGTCTTCTGAAACACGTCCTGTCATGTTCAACAGAATGGCACAATGTAGGGACTGTGCACAAGCGATGAGTGTTGGGTGCTTCGCCAGCAGACCTGATCCAGCTTCAAGGAGGTCCAAGTCTGTCAAGCTGTCCATCCTTCTATCACTATTAATGTTATATGACTAGTATCCTCAACTTCTGACTAAATGACTAAAACTAATTCATAAAACATTACACACACTTTTTGGTTAGGTCCCTGTAGTTAACCAGACTTGTCATGACTGGATTCAGGCTGTTCTGAACAATAGGTATGACATGTTCACGATGATTCACAATTGATAGAGCTGAAGTTGGCTGAATGTAATAAACAATATTATTAGCTACAAGAGAGTCATTGTGATCACAAATAAGAACATTTACAATGAGGTTATGTCATGTCTGTATTGACGCAGATGGCAGGAATGTATGTTTACGATTGCAATGCCTAATTTTGGGGCAGCAAAGCAGAGGGCCATAGAAAATGACACAGCGGGCCACAATTTCCCCTTGGGCCATAGTTTGGAAATTCCTGTACTAAAGCTCTGACAATATATATGCTTCCATATATCCATATACTTAAGGCAAAGTAAGTTTTTCTGTATATAAAGTCCACAGAGAGCAACTCAAACCAAGATAAGAAACACCATCATACAGTACAGTACGATCATTAATAATCACTGCATTAGAAAGAGTGAATATAATCCTTTAGTCGTATGCACAGCTCAACAGAAATTTTTTAACCTGGATTTGAACATTGTCAGAGTAAAAGCCTGTCTCACATACAGACAATTCGGAAATGTATTATTTATATAAGTGGCACGCTGACAAAACTGTTTTGTATAAAAAATACTAATAAAGATCCCTCCAACATGTTCTGTTCTAATTGTGTCCTTGAACAGTGGTCAATGTACCGTCGCTATAGAGAGTCTTCAATGGATTAAATTAAGATATTAGAATGATGCCAAAAGGATTCCATGTCTGATGCCCACATTTCATACACCATCTATGAAAAATATTTATGTTTTTAAAAAATCCAGCTGCAACTCCCTGCGGTTCGATGTCACAGTTTTCTTTATTATTTTAATGTAACCACTAATAGTCAGTAGATCCCTGGATGGATAATGTTGGACACCAATAAACCCGGCCCACATAAAGCGCGTGTCTGCCCTCGTGTGGGGGAATTTGAGAACTACAATGTGTTCAATGAATCAGGATGGAGAGGGATACAATAAGACTCTTGCAACAGGCTATGTCTTTCTGGTCATTATTTTTAAGCCTAACATGCCATTAGACAGGCCTAAAATTATTTAAAAATGTTTAGTTTTATTCAGTCTATGTATTATGGATTCTATTATCGTATGCTTTGACATTCTTTGTAAAAACACTCACACAAAAAAGATCAACACCTGAGACTATATAAACACTGAATCCATCCTTATGTATGGGGGGTGTTAATCCCCCATATAAAAATAGGCAGGCCCTTTAAAAGGGCGCATAAGATCTTGGAAATAAGGATCATCCAACACATCAGAATATTGTGTGATTTCAAAAGTCTGATTAGGAAAATGCACCAATAATTATATTTCAAGCAAGCAAGACATGCCTTTATGCAAATGTTTTAAAACTTTCTGATACCATTTGGTGAATTCTCCTTTGATTAAATAAATCCGTATTTGTAGAGCGCCTTTCAGGCGTTGCCTTATTTTTTATTCAATGTGTTGCTTGTGTTTGTACACATTATCAATTCAAAGCTGGTGTGTTTTACACCACAAACAATGGGACTCTGTAATAAATTCAGCTATAGTTCCTACCTCGCAAAACAGCCTTTTCATTCTCTTTTTCAAACAGAAAATTGAGACAGAGGGGACCACCCTCAGTCAGCCAATCAAACCGCCCAAAGTTTCACAGGGCTTATATGCAAAATAAATAGACAGATTTACATGACTCTTTCTGTTGGAACTTGGGACAAACACATTTTGCATGAAAAAGTTAGGTACTCTAGCTTCAATTCCACAAAAATTGTAACCAGAATCTTGTGGAATAGTCCCCTTCTATAATATTTTTTAGGGCTGATCTACATACATATTTTGCCTCTTAGAGGAAACAGGAGAAATGTTATTAAAACACTCACATCGATGGTTATGTTTCTCCATAATGGACATTGTTGTATGTGTTCGTTAGATTTATTTAAAACCTGAAGAACACACTTTCCCATTCTTCACACTAACACAAGCATGGATGAAGTAGATCATCTTATCATGATAATACGATAATCATAATCATAATACGCTACAATACAGTACAATGAATCAACATATGATACTGTGCAGTATACACAATACTATGCCACGTGCCATCAGTAAATCATACTACATTCACAACATTGCTATTTGCAAACATTAAAACATGTAAAAAAAAAAAAATCACATTTCGTTATAAAATTAAAAGATATTTATTTTTGTCTTTCGTAAATCAAGAGCTGGGTATGAGCTTCGGATTTGTCGGCAGGAGTCTGCTTCTAGACACTCGCATAGACCATATCCAAGAATATGCAGCATGTATATGTTCCCTGCGCCCGAAAAGCCACTGACGTAAACTCTTCTGTGAGCGAAAAGAAGTGACGCTCGCACAAGAAGCCGGAGCTTTGAACACAAGGGGAATAGCGTTTTCTTTATTTTTTCTTTAATTTATTCCCTTTTTATGCCTTCGTGTATGGTTGTTATTTCCCTGCATTGTCGTGAATAATAAGCTGGTGTTTTTGCTCAATTTCAAGCGCTTGCAACCTGAGTGAGTAATGTTAACGCCTCGGCTCTCTCACACGGCGCTATTTTGACAGCAGTCGGGGTCGCAGTGAACTAACCCGAGCTAGCACCAATCTATTAGCATTGGTAAGTCATTCGCAGAGCTAGCTACCTGGTCGCATCCTAATATAAATTGGCGTATGTTGTGTGTACATTTATAACGTCGTAATTAGACGTAGGGGCCATCTTTCAGTGTATCCTGGCATGTATCGATGATAAGAACTATTGACAAGTGGTCGCTGGTGTTTAGCAAAAATATCAAATAGCTAGCTGGCTGCTATGCTAACATTAGCTAGGTGGCTATCATGGCAGTAATGTTATGTACTGAGGTAGCTAATTATACATGCCAAAAGCTAACCGTGTGCTAGCTATTGTTGGCGTTAGAATCCATCATCTTTTTAGACAACCACACAACTACTGGACCGAACACACAACAGTTTTTCTTCTGCAGACACAACCTGAAGATTCATCTGAGTCGTGACGCGCAGACAACACATAGGTGAGCCAAACACTCATCATTTCAATGACTTGGAATTGATTGTGTATGTTTCTCAGTCTCAAAGATAATAAAAGCACCATACTGAGCAGATACACGGACTGAGGGTTTTGTCCTGCTAGTCTGAAGAGATTCTTGTCACACAGTTGAATTGATGTATAACTCATTGCCTTTGAGCCTTATCTAAAATAGATTATGGTGATCAGTCTACGTTGTGGCATAAACACTAAACAGGCGCTAGCTGCTTTTTATTTTTGACTCTGCTTTCTCATACTCAAGTCATATACGGTTTAAGATTTCTTGGCCATTTTCAGATGA